CTCCCTCTGTGTGTTTGCACACTCTTTCTTTATTTCAGATGGTCGCAAAGGATAATAGTCCTTTTACTTCATTTTTCTAATAAAATCTTCCAAGTGAGACGAACTTTTAGTAACTAATGTTCTGCGCTGTTGATTATCGCGCAATCTCTTTTATCTTTTGTAAATTTAAAACCTGCTTCTTTTCCCTACGTGTATAAACAAAAGGACGGTGGATTCGTGTAGGTTAAATGTTATGAACAGAATAGTCCATGCATGGCAACATCTGAGTTCACATTTCATCCAAACTGGGGTAATGCCGTGTGTATATCCTCTCTCTCACTTAAACCAAACATAAACAAGTCTCCAATACTCATCATATCTGAAAAACCTAACACAATATTAATATTAAGTATCTTGAACTTCTCACCTTTTCCCAACGTATTCTGAGGGAAATCACCCACCGTTTTCAGCTTTTTAGAAATAACGCAGAGCGTATAATTCTTAACTTAAAATTTTGAGTCGTCTTGTGTTAAAATATTAATGCTGATAGTTATCTTAATCAATTTTACTTCTACTAGAAAGCGTAAAAACATTTTTTTTAGGGAGTTCACATGACGAGCGATCGGTTGATCGAGGCAAATAGATTTTTGTTGCCTTAAAATTTCCATGACAAAATAAAATTATTATTAAAAGTATCAGAGATTTTGCTGGCCATGTTTGTTTTCCATTCACTGGCCAACGCTGAGGCACTGATCACAGCTAACTTGACATATTTGGTAAAAACCTTGAAAATCTATTGCTGCCTTGACTTAGCTCTTTTCCATCCTTGGAATATATTACAATTATATAATAAGCAGAATTATTTCTTGAAGTATACTTCTCCCAACAAGTGACGCGATTTTCATGTCTACTCCAAAGTTTGTCAATTGAACCTCTGGTTAAAGTGGATGGTGTTTTTTGTCATGCCATGCACTTATGAAAAGGGGGGTTTTATAAATCGACAGTTTCGCTTTTCTTAGGACAGAAACAGATCACAGTCTTTGTATGAAAACGACAACAGTGGTGGCTGGCCTCTGCTGAGACGGGAAAATTTGAGAACTAAATTTAAGGAATGAGTTATTGTCTCGGTTCGCTTATGCGAGTAACACAAATGTTGTTGTTTTTTGTTTGTTTGTTTTAATCAAACAATTTGTTTCAATTTCAAAAGAGTATATAAAAAGTATACGTATAAGTATCATTTGACAGATCATCGCCATGAACTTATGAGATGAGGAGTGTTATGACGGAAACAGACAAAAACAAGTCTTTGTATGAAAGCGACAACAGTGGTGGCTTTCATTTGACGGTTGAAGTTAGTATTAACTCCTCAGATCGCGACAGATGATTCTGGCCTCTGCTGATACGGGAAAATTTGAGAACTTAATTTAAGGAATGAGTCATTGCCTCGGTTCGCTTATGCGAGTAACAGTAATGTTGTTTTTTTTGTTGATGTTTTAATGAAGCGTTTTGAATCAATTTCAAAAGAGCATCTGATAAGAATACATATAATTATATTTGATAGAAAGTTATGAAAACTCTTTGAAATTCATTTTGACAGATCAATGATATGCATGACACTTAACTTTCAGGATTTTTAACATCTCTACCTTTGGCCATACTCTTTCTTCAAAATCGTCTTTTCCTCTCCTTGACGTTAATAATAATCGAGCTCTACCGACACTTGACTCATACTGCCATCATGTTGAACATTGTGATAATTTGGCTTGAGTCAGAGAAATGCAACAAGGGATTTAAAAAAAAACTCCCAACACGGAGTTAAGTTTCTTCAGTGTTCAAAGCAATCAACAGCTCTATTCCATGGGTTGTATCATACAAGAGTCCGCTTTCGAAAAGTGATAAAAATGTCTGTGCAGAACACAATATGTCTACTACAACTTTTAACAATTAGAAACAATTTCATTGTAAATCGAAAAATTAACTTAACTTTACTGTTCATATACGTTTCTTTCTTTCCCGATTAATTTGTAAGTTGTTTGACTGCTGCATTTTATGTGTAAAAAATCTTGGTTTTGCCTCCTCTGATTACAGTGCTGAGAACATACTACATGCTGCTCTTGCAAGTCACGCACAGT